TGTCAACATGTTCCATTGTCATCTTGTTGTAAATTTGGTGAAAAACGAAGAATGTAGATGTAACTGCTGCTGGTGAGACTATTATATGACCAATTATGGGAAACGGTTGCTATCGCATTGATCAAGTATTAAAATGTTTCAAGATATAAACTCATCTATTCCGCTTTTATTTATTCTTTCGGAAATTATGATGTCTGATAATCAAAATTAACCTAAGGCAATTTTTTATTAGTCTGAATACAGTTCAACACCTCATGCAATAATGTGTACAGTATATCATGAGTCATTTATATATATGTAGCTCCTTAAATAGAATTATAAAGAACTACAACTGTTTAAAACTTCTGTAGCTTTCAGTAACTCATAAAAAATAAAACCGAATGCATTTTTTCAATTTATACATAAAAATTCAGATTTTTAATTTTAATACTGTAGATGGTAAATAACCCTACAATTTAGGTTCGATTCAATTATTACTCCTTAACGGTATTGAGCCTTCAGGTTAAATCAAACGCTTGTAGTATATTATATCGGTACTAAAAATTACAAATCAAGTGTATCCTGTGAATACCGGTGAAGTATTGAGAAAAATTGAAAATGTAGCGGAGAGCGGATTAGTCTCCAACTTCAAAATTAATCATTTGCTGAATATACTTAAAGTATCGAACTGATAATAAGTTTCTTTTAGATGGAATTTGTTATATGAAAATGGTAAAAAAGTACTTCCCTTTGAAAGTAACCTATCCTGAAGTATTCGCACAGTGGATAATAATTGTATCATCAGCATTTGCTGATATGTTTCCAGTTCCATTATGTTAAAAAAGGTGATTAAGTATAATATGTACAGAAATGAAACAAGTACTGATGTAATAAATACAAATAAACATTATTATCAGATATATTATTATGAAACATGAATGCATTGTCGTGAAACTCTTTTATGATATAAAACTGTTTATGAAAAGGTAAATATAGATAGATATGTCTACACAGTCGGGTACATTTGATCAATAACGACTCAATAAGTACAAAAAAATATTTTCACTCTAAAATAAAGTAACCAAACACATTCTTTCTGGGAATATAGGGTAATGGTGCAGTAAATTATTGTCTCCGAACCATTTTAAGTTATAGAAAATACGTATACTCCAACAAGGTCCACTTGTGTGGATACCTACTTGCTGAAACGAATCCCGGCGTAGCTAACCTCAACCTTGTTGGAGCATACGTAATCCTAAAATGTAGCATCGTTCTATAAACGGCGTTTACCGCGCCATTTGTGGTATTTTCTAAAATGCACTGTTAAGACAGCAGGTAAAAGTTGGTCTGTGTTCTGACGGAGCTGTCTGCGACGCGCTGATGAGATCCAAAAAGATCGATATCGCGATCCGCGTCTGGCAGTTTCGACAGAATACAGACCACTTCGAATTATTTTATTCATTTTAAGTTATTTTGAAAGTTACGTATTCCACAATAAAAAGAATTTTCGTGTCAAGTCATAATGATTCGAAGAACAGAGAAAGGTTAAAATGATTATTAAATTGTCTTAATCTTTAATCGTACGTCTTTGATAGTTTGTTATTCTTCCTTGGGCTTTAAAAAAGAAATTCTATATTGTTCATGCTTTTAATCCTTTGTGCTGGTTGACCGTGGTATTAAAAAACACAAAAAATTAAATCCCGTAAATGGATTGCCGTTATTAATTTCTCCTACAATTATGAAAATGTCTTTTGGGAAAAACAATTTAATACACTTTATTCAGCTTTCATAATTTCAAATTGTATACAAAAAAATATATTTTTCAAGAATAAATACCCAGAACGTAGTATTTCTAAAGCTACTTTAATTTTAATACGCCTGTGTTGATTTTTCATCAGCTAATAGGATATATGTACATACCTATATATACCAGATGTAGGAAACGAAAAGGTTTCCTGCAAACGTAACGTTTACGTATGCATGTTAAATAGATGATAAAGCAAAGAAATACGTTCACTCGAAGGGTGTTTGCAGTAAAAGTTTTTACTGTTAATACGTATATGGAGTATGAAGTGGAATGAACTTTACCTGTCTTTTACTTCCCAACTTTTGGTAGATTAATGCATGCACCAATTCCGTTAAAAGTCAGCAGTTTTGAACATCAACTTCATATATGCTCGAGAAAGTTCTTAAAAGAGAGAGCACAAAGCATTCCGTAATAACCACAAACCCCCAACGCATTTCATTGAGATGCAAACATGGACTTTAAAGAATGTTGAAAACCGCCTAAAGCGCATTGGTTAATAAAACCGGGTACTCTGTCTTTAAATTATGTCCATTAATTGCTTTATAGTCACGTATTGAGTTTCTATTTAAAATACATTATGCATGTTTTACATTTCTAGTTTAATTGTTCACTAAAAATTTTACAATGTTTTATATACATCTGCATACATGTAAGTTAATGCATTTATACCCAAAACATAAAAATTGATAATGTTCAAATCAGTTATATGATTTGCAAAGCTTGTATTTTTATTAATTTGTTTTATTATTTTCTTTTGGTTTTTAAATAAAGTGTTGAAATTATTTTCATATATTTTAGCATCATTTACATCAGGATTGCTAGTAAGACATTTTACAGCAATTCTTACAAAATCGAATAAAGCTCTCTCAATTCGTGAATTTTAATTTTTCTAGTTGTTGGGGAAAATATCCGAGTTTGTCATACCTTACATTACCTGGTGGTTTTGGCTCTAATGGGAAGCTTATCTTCTTTACGGCTTTTGCATCTTCTTTTTATTTTCTGCCACGTTTGAGGTTGCCTGAATGTATAAGCGAGTAGGCCACATTTCCCCGAAAAGTTTTCAATTTGGCGTGTTTTTTGTTTCAGGTTGCATCTAAATCGCGCCTATATAAAAGACAGAATTTGACACAAAGATATCAATAAGTTGAGAAAAAATTCCGAGGTACCTTCGTTTGGATTTTAGTGGAGTTTTGTAGAGCGCTATAAGCATATCTGCTAAATCTACACCGCCCATATGCACATTATATTTTTTTATGATCTGAGGACATACTACATCAACCTTCTTTTTGTCATATTTGGAGTATGGTTTTGCTGTGAGAGCTGGAAAGTTGAAACAAAATAACTTGCCAGGGTAACGAATTTCGTATCTGCCCATTTGACGACAGTTACTCCCGCGATGTTATCTACCTTGTATTCATAACCTCCTTCAATTAATTTAAAGAACAATTTTCTAAACCAGTAGTGGTAACTTTATATAAAGTAATGAATTTTCCAGCTTTTGGGGTAAAATATGAAAACAGTTGTGAATTGCCGTTCTATTCAGGAATCATTTCGTTAGTCATACCTGTTTCTCAAGGGTGATCCTTTCTTGACATCAATTAAAATGAAACGAAATTTTCTACACAAGCGATTTTCTATACGTATAACAGAAAGTAAAAAACAGAACATACGTTACTAGAACGAAGAATATTGTCAAACATTCAAAACAGCAGTTGTAGATCGAATTTGGATGATGGTTCGGGTTGATGTTTGGTGTGAATCCCTGTCATTTCTCAAACACCTGCGAATCTCGATTAATAGGAGTAGAAGTAGACCTAGGTTAAATTACTGTTCGCAAATAGTTAAGGATGTATGATGTTCTAGTTTTAGGAAATGCAAAGATTAGCTCAGGATAGGTAAAATAGAAGTGCGTGCCAATAAGTCTTAGGACTCTTGACCTTACACCTAACACAAAAATTGATATCATGATAGCAATGACACCTTACGTATACCCAAACCGCAAAAGTCCATAATGCTTTAACAGCATTTGTAAATTTTTCTGCAGGCGTTGCTTTAGTATTGAACAATAAATTGCTATTACTCCTTTTTACATTAGCTCAAGCGTGAGATGAAATTTGATATATATATGTTTGTTAGGTTTATGAAAAATTGAATTTTTTAATAATTGTAAGACGGTCTGATTATCGCAAGATATATATGCGTTAACAGTTTTTTTTTGATATAAATAGTTTGGCGCGTAACTTCGGAAAAAGCTTCCGCTTCCATAGTTGAAAGTGATACAGGGTGTTGATTTTTCGATTTCCAGCTAATCGGTCCTGAAGCTAGTGGTAATACATTGTCAGAGTATGATCTACGATCGCCTAAATCTCCAGCCCAATCTAAATTTTAATAAGAATATGCGGTTAGTATATCAAAACTATTAAGCGTATTCAGTAGCACAACAAAAGTTTCTCAGGGGTACGCAACGTAAGGGGAATCTGAAGAAAAGGCGGAGATATAGTCGGAATTAATCGTAACCAGTCGCTCTCTTTCGCAATTTTTATCACGCCTATCATGCGTAAATCATTCTCCGCTTGGTTTCAGACAGAGCTTCTCGTGTATACAATATATAAGTACGATTAAGACTTTAGTCGAAGGAAATAGTTGTTTTCGTAAAATAATGTGGCCTAGACATACAACATATTTCCGTAGTACAGAACATACAAAAAAATCTTAAACATCAATTTACAAAAATTGTGATTTTGTCATTTATCCAGTAAAAAGTGACCAAATGGAAAAATGTAATCAATACAAAAATGTTCCTCAAAAATTTTACAAAGAAGCAGTTACCTATATACAACATCGTTAAACTTCACAGTTATCTTGAGAAATCAATTCTAACCCAACACAGGGAAATTGACTATTCTTTCTGAAAACACTTTTTAATCGATATTCAAAAAAATGTAGAAAAAAAAAGCATTAGAGAAAGTTTCGTCCATAATATGAATATCCTGCAGGTTTTTCTAGTAATGAGCCCGTTTTCATACCACCCATGAGGTAGAGCTCCCGGCACGTTTTGGTTTTAAGTGGTTTCCCCTGGAGGCCTATTCCACTAAGAGGAACATTTTTGCACTTTTTCGCCGAAGCAACCCTGTACAAAAAGATAAAAACATCACCAAGTATATTTTTGGTTTTGCTCTTCGCTTTATTTTTTTTTTTCTGTTATTGCATTTACCGGAGTAAGGTCTTTAGCAAAAAATGGACATTTGATTTCTAGGACAGCATCCTCATTTAAAATTATGCCGTCTGGACTGGCACCCAAGAACGGGTGGCATTTGTCAACTACCAAGCCGCTTTCTTTTACAGTCAACCTAATAGAGTATTTGGAGACATAAATAACTGATTTTTTAAGGGGGGTTTTAGATGCACGTCTTAGTCTAAACTGAGTTTAAGATGCAACCCTCGGTCACAATAGAATTACCATTTTCAGGAGATAAAATATACATGTTTTTAAAGATTTGGACAGTCAATGCAGGCCGAGGAAGTTTCTACCTCTATCGTGAATATAGAGCGAAGAGCCAAACCAAAAATATATTTGGTGATGTTTATATCATTTCGTACCGGGTTGCTCCGGCGAGAAAATGTCATCAATGCAAAGATGTTCCTTTTAATTGAATAGGCCTCCAGGGGAAACCACTTAAAATCAAAACGTGCCGGGAGCTCTACCTCATGGGTGGTATGAAAACGGGCTCATTACTAGAAAAACCTGCAGGATATTCATATTATGGATGAAACTTTTTCCAACGCTTTTTACCTGCATTTTTTTGAATATCAATTAAAAAATGTTTCATAAAGAATAGTCAATTTCCAGTTTGGGTTACAATTGATCTTACAAGATAACTGTGTTTAACGATGTTGCATATAGGTAATTCTTTTTTTTCAGATTTTTTGAGGAACTTCTTTGCACTGATTACATGTTTCCATTATAGTCACTTTTTACTGGATAAATGATAACCACGATTTTTGTAAACAGATATTTAATATTTTTTTTGTTTATGAATTTCAATCACCTAATATTTTGATTTCCTCGATTTGATGAAATTTGAACAGAAAATTTTATGTCCACGAATTTAATGCAAACGAGATAGACAATACAAACGATTTCTAGATGCATAGTGACCAGGGGATTGTAACTACCCCTAACCATCCCGAATACAAAAAGCCAGTTTTAAAATGAGGACGTGCAACTTAAAGTCCCCGAAAATTACAGCCACTACGTATTTTTCTTTTAGTGAATTATTCTTATTTACTGTACTAACCCTGTTACTTTTGAAAATTCGTCACGTGCAACTGTTTCATATTCGTTGCCATAATGAGTGGCAGCACTACCAGTAAATGTTGAATACAGTAAACTTTTTACGGTATTTGCACATGAAGTAGTTGCGCGTAATTTACAAATTTTGCCAAAATTGGACGATGTTACTCGGTTGCTGCGTTCGGTTATCCAATTGGGATTGCTACTTTGACCTCTTGTCATTATTTCAATATTAGAAATTTGATTCACAGGTATTTGTATATGTGTCTTTAAGAAATGTTTCACTTTTTCTGTGTACTCAGTAGGACACATGTCGGTCTGTGACATTTCTGGACCATAGTCTGGACCAACGAGCGGTGTAGGATTTGCATTGCGCTTTATTTTCCTGAATAAATTTCGCCTGCACTTGTATTTATCCCGCAAGGTCATCCTTCGGGCCGTGAATTTTTTCGTGTACTTGCCTGGACTTCTTTTTATGACCGCACGATGGACTACGTTCGCATATTCTCCTTTTCTATTGAAAGAAATACCTGCCGCTTCAAGTCCTTGCCCAATACTGGCTGCCCAATTTTGGACTAATATTATTCATAAAATCTTGGCCCAATATTAGTTGCTAATCTCGGACCAAAATTAAACAATTTTGATTGGCTTTATCGTAATTTCCTACATATGTACTTGATCCTGATGCATCGATTAAATTTCGACGTTTTTATCTAGGTAATCTTTAGTTTCAAGGAATTATGTGCACGTATTAACTATATAAAAAATTGTTTTCAACCTGTCATATTATGAGTATAGATTCTGATTATTGCTGTTACCTAAATAAAGAAGTTTGCCTGTGCGCTTTCCAATTATGCATCCTACGCCAGAACAAGCATCATAATTTGTTCTATAGAATCTCTTGCACCAGGCTCCATCTGCAACTACTGCAATATTTGGAATGCTGGTACTATCCACGTCTCCTAGTTTCACTGCTAGTTGATATTCTTCTTCTCCAGCACGCCTTATATTGTCCCATAAAGTAGCATGTAGGGTGGTGGACACATCTTGGTGGCAATTCTCATATGTTTTCTGGGACAGACACGGAATATTCATATGCCCACAGAGTTCCTCTAAAAGACTGTATCCACCTCCAGTGGAGAGAACACTTAGTACTGCTGCTTTGTTGATATTTGATTCCTGTTCAGAAAAAATTTCATCTACTTTACTGCACATTTTGCATTTGAATTTGAAAACGCTTCTAAACCCGAATCTTCTCTCATTTAAAAATTCCAGCTCCCTCCATGAACATTTGAAAGGAGAATGACTTTCCATACATATAATTTGACTAAAAAGAAACCCAATATCCACTATATGGCTTCCCTCTAATGAGTTACTGGCAGTTTTTGATTCTTGCAAATGTTCAATTTCTACATCGGAGCGGAATTTAAGTGATGTGCTTGCAGGTCTTTGGTTGGTGTCATTCTGTAGATATTATTATTTAACGTTAATTATAAAAAATTGTAACGTATTATCTATTTGCAACGCACATAACAGGAGTGGGCATGTGACTGCAAGATG